CTCTCCAGGGTCAGTGACCACCCCCTCCGCATTCCGCACCTGATCAATACCTGACACCTAGCAAGTCATGAGTATAGGGAATAGGCTCAGTTCGATGTCGTGGTACGTCGTATTTGACGATATGTCCGTTTCGCTCGCAGTTTGAAATACGACAAATTCGTGACAAGGCGCGAACCCTGTCAAAGGTCCCAAAGCCTGGGGTGACTTAGGCTGGTGGTCTACTTTTTGCTTCGAATGAAAGTATAAAGGCAGGCTAGCGATATGGGAACAATACGACGATGAGGAGATGGTACCAATTGATAAATAGGCAATTGTCATGATCAAGATCTGGGGACGATCGTCAATGGCAGCGACGCTACATTTCACTGTGAATGGGTAGCACCCATAATGCCCACGTTTCCAATCCCTGAGGGCTGTTGTTGTATTGCATCTCCTATAGGTGCTACAGTCATAACATGACATCGCACAGCCGTTGGTGCGGATAGACTTTGGGATCCTCGAACAGATCGGGGTAGGAAAGTCAACTAACCCCCGAAACCCTCAAGGCTGCCGAGGCACCAGGCATTAATGGGCAGTTACTCCTGTTGCACAAGAGCAGGTCAATTGGCAGGCGAACAGGGGACGGACATTAATAATTAGAATCTGGGCAAAGGTCACGTTTTGTCTCGGCGGGACCCGATCACAGAGCACGCCAGGTAGGGGATGGGAATGGGGTGGCTTCTGGGTTGGCTGGTGGGTTGGGCCAATACAACGCTGTTTATTGTTGCACTGCTTGCAGTTGGGGCTGGTTCAGCACATCACATGCTAAACGACCACCTACCTTGCGTACGTACGTTCACTGGTCGGGAGACTCGGTCGGGCCTTAGTTGCCAAGGCCCCCTTTTGCAGGCAAATCATCATCCAGCGATCGATTTCTCGCTCCAGGTATCCAGTACTTGTCCCCTGAGCAGTGACGCTATCCCGCAGCGGACATGGCTCAGTCTGACTTACACTGCCCGCCCTACCTAAGACACCGGGTGCTGAGGATCGGTTGCATCGGTTCCTCGCTCCCAATTGACCTGCAGCAATTGCACCCCATGATGTGACTGGAGCCCGCCGCTCCCGCAGGCCGCCACATTCAATGCATCGTGCTTATACGTCAATGCCTAGCATCTGCATGATGAAAGGTTCGCCCGCTCTATGTGCCCTCCGCCTCTGATCATGGCAACACTAGGACGCGCTGCTAGGCCAGTTCCAGACTAGCGGGGCACTTCTGGAAAGTATCCTGTACCTCAGAAATGAGCCCGTGGAGTCCGTCCGTCGCGGCAAGACCGCGGTTTTGCTGGGCATGCGAAATTTCCCCTTTTTGACAGCAATCTGTCTCTTGCCCTCACATACTTTCTTTCCCTTTTCTTACCACAAACTTCTCTTTAACTTTTCTTTCCTAGCACAAAAAGGTTCCGGCGCAAGTCAACCCGCGGCGCCCCGTCTTGCGTTCGCTTCTCTTCTCGTCATTCCTTCAATCCTGCTTCTTTGTTTCTTACAACCTTAGTTGTACACGTTGTCTGCAAGCCCTCGGCGCGCGATTCTGTTGCAATCGTGTTCAGATCCCTCCTCGGTACATACACCATCGTAACCTGTCTGACAAGAATCCAATCCGATTGTCTCGCCCATCATGTCGACTTCCCCGACGCTCTTTGAGCAGATTCCTCTGCCGACCCTCGATCGCCCGTTTGGCATCCACCTGTGGTCCCTCTTCGACAAGTTCTGCTGGACGCCTGTCCTGGGCTACTCGGCCGATGAATTCAAGTTTGTGCCTTTCGAGACACCAATGTCCACTCTCAAGTCGACATCAATCTTCATCGTCGTCTACTATGCCATCATCTTCGGCGGCCGAGAGGCGATGCGCCACCTCGAGCCCTTTAAACTCAAGACTCTCTTTTTAATTCACAATTTCATGCTTACGGCCGTCAGCGCCATTCTTCTTGCTCTCTACGTCGAGGAACTTCTTCCCACCGTTGTTCGCGGAGGCATTTTCCACGCCATCTGCCACCACGATGGCGGCTGGACCCAGCACCTCGTTGTCCTGTACTACGTAGGTCTCCTCTCCCGAACGATCCAACCAAAATTTCGCTGTCAGGTTACTAACCTTGCGTTTCTAGCTCACCTACCTGACCAAGTATCTTGAACTGCTCGACACTGTCTTCCTCTTCCTCAAGAAGAAGCCTCTGAGTATGTTCTCCTTCCTGGCGTATCTGCTTCGTGAATTAAGGTCTAACAAGTTCCATTATAACAGCATTCCTCCACTGCTACCACCACGGCGCTACCGCTCTCCTCTGCTACACCCAGCTCATCGGCTCGACTGCTGTCTCTTGGGTTCCCATCACTCTCAACCTGTGGGTTCACGTTGTGATGTACTGGTACTACTTCCAGAGCGCCCGTGGCATCCGCATCTGGTGGAAGGAGTGGGTTACCCGCTTCCAGATCATCCAGTTCATCATTGATCTTGGTAAGAATTCCCCATGAACACTCACTTATTGGTCAGCCAGGCCCAAGACTAACCTATTCTAATAGGCTTTGTTTACTTCGCTTCGTACACCTACTTCATGTCCACCTACTTCCCTTGGATGCCCAATGCTGGCAGGTGCGCTGGTGAGGAGTTCGCCGCTTTTGCTGGAATCGGAATTCTCAGCTCCTACTTGGTCCTGTTCATCTCCTTCTACCTCGCGACTTACAAGAAGAACCCCACCAAGACCACCCGTGCTTCTCTGCGCCGCATGAGCCAGGCTCCTCTTCCCGACCCTCTGCACGTCGCCGAGGCTGTCAGCGGAAAGGCAAAGGGCAACGCCAATGGCAAGACCACTGGTGCCAAGACGAACGGTGCCAAGACGAATGGTGCCACCACCCGCTCCCGCAAGGCCTAAGCACCACACAGTGTCCGACGGTTCCAAGATTGATACATTCCGAAAGGACAACTGACTCTCGTCAACATCAAATACGGACGTTTCGAAGTGTATAAATTCTCGTGGTGACTGGGAAAGCATGCGTATTTATCAAATGAAATTTTTGGAGACGGATTTTCCAGGAGAATAGTTTTGGGGCTAATTGCTGTCGGACGAAACCAACATACAAACAAGAGGTGGGGGGCACATCTCTTGACTTACTCATGATAATGGGAGTGCGAACTTAATGTCTACATCTTGTTGCATCAGGCGAACTGGGGAATGGCACAGGTCTGGGTTTGATTCTTGAAAGACGGGGGGAAAAGGAATGGAACATAAGGCTCTTGTATCTGCGGGAGAGAATCAGTAGCCTATCGGCTCCCTTAATAGTTCTCAGTGCTTGCTGTATATACAGATGCACATCGAGGATGTGTTTGGACGAAGAACCGGGCAAAGCGGTGCTCTTAATCAGTTCTGGATCATCTGGTGTAAAATATGTTTAGTTGTTATGATTTATTCTGGAGCTACGTATTCAATTCGGTTCAATTGCTAGGGCCGCTATCCACAGAAGCTATATCTGAAACAGGTCTTGAATTCTAGCGTGGCACACGGATCAGGGTATCCAGCCAAAGTAAAAGGGTCTTGAAAAACAATCTGGCAAAGGTCTCGCAGCGTAAGCACAACGTCGCTACAGAGGACAAGCCGACAGAGGCGAGACGAGAGGGCATAGCGGTGGCCAAGAATTCCTACAGTCGATCTTTAACCAAGTCCATGCTTTCAGCAGAGCCAATGTAACCAATCCGCGGAGAAGGATCTCTTGGTGGTAAGGGTACCGGCAAACCTGGGGGATCGCCAAGGCGTCATCATCTAGGAGAGTGGCCGAATACCTTGTCCCAATATATAGGATCACAAAATAGGTAGCTGGAGACACTCTCAGATATAGTGCCCCGTTCGTCTATAAATACAGCAAGTGTGACTATTATAGCATTATTGTTCCTACATCTCATTCTGGTTCGGCCGGCTGCGACTCCAACTAGCCCAAGATCCCTCACGTCACCAACCATTCGTGATCCCTGAGGGTTGCAGGCGAAGAAAGCACCTACCGAACGAATGGGTGTTGGGGTGATCACCAGTGGGCCTAGACCTCCGAAACAGTGAGATGATTGACTGGATCACACGCGTCTGGCACATTTCACTCGAGAGAGGAAAATTCTTTAGGTTGTTTTAGGAGCGGGCTTGCTCTGACCAACAGGCCGCCCCTGCATATCTCTATGTAAGCGCTCGTGGGATTAAATCACACCCAAAGGTTCTGGTGTTGGGTAGAACGGCCCCCATATTATTGCCCAGGAATAATCGGGCTAGTGATAGAGCTTACATAGTATGTCGTCCTGGAGGAGAACACGGGTGTGGGAGGTGCAAGTCGTCGCTGCACTCTGATTGAGGGTACCGAGGCCCAGAGGACCTTATACAAGTACATAATTTAGACAGTCTCCAGCGCGTGCTGTTCCTCTGCGGGAATTTCAGCGTCGATGCCAGTGGTTTTTTATTTATATCGCAATATGCCTTCAATCCAGGCTGCGAAACGCGGGCCTAAAGTTCTAGCGGGCGGCTCGTTGGCTGGCTCACTCTAGTGCAGTCCGGGGTTTCAATCGGCCTGCAGCCAGTCAGCGATTGTTGGGCGATAGGTGCCTTAGCAAGCTTAGGTGCCTGGAACTAGCCCCGTAGGCCACTGAAACCCCGGTCAGAATGGATTTTGGGCGCTCAAACAGGAACGGACGAGCATGATATGACGGCAGCGGCAGCTGCCCTCCCTCTGGCATGGCACCTAACCTGACCTACCTACAAAGTGGATTGATTGGTGGCACCCTGCAGCAGCCCGTAGCAGAGGGGAAGGAACGACTCCCGACAGACATTAATTACCACCTCCCATCCCATCAGCCGTTGCTGCTCACGGGCTTTGGCCGGTGTCACCTCTAGGTTTCTCTCTCCCTTGTCTTAATATCTAATCCTATCCTCCCCTTCTCTCTTCCTCACCGAACCAAACTTGTGACAGCTTCCCCCACCCCACCAGCAAGCATCATGAAGCGGCTGTTCGGCCGCAGGAGCAAGAAGAGCAAGGAGAGTCATGTGAGGAGCGGGAGTGCTGGCAACGCGAAACTTCCCATCAGCAACCACCAAGGCCCCCTCTATAAGTTCCCGCCTACCTATCGCTCAGCACAGCTTGTTGCTGTCCTTCCTCCCAGAGTCCTCCAGCGCATATTCTCGTTTGTGTGCCCCCACTCGCTCGATGAGAGCTACGAAACTTGCGAGAGCAGCGCTGTTGATAGCGCCTGCATGCTCTGCGACTTGCGGGAACTGTCGCGCTGCCTTCTCGTGTCCAAATCATGGCGCAAGTCTGGCATACCAGTACTGTGAGCTTCCCATCCACCATTAGCTTTGTCTTCGACGTTTTTGCCTTTGCCTTGCCCCTCATGGCTGTCTGAGCAGCCTCGCTGACCGCCTGCCTACCAATCCAGATATCACAGCATACGCATCGACCCCGTCCACTACTGCAAAGACGAAGCCCGACTGGCAGAAAATCGAAAGAAGTCGCGTTTCGATCGAAATGCGATCCCTGAGGATCCAGCACAGGCGAGATTGCGCCTGCTGCGACGCACCGTGCGCGACGATCCAACAAGGCTTGGAAAGCTAGTCCAATACCTGAAGATTCCCTACATGCTTCGCGAGTCCTGCCATGTTGAGCTAGCCCAAACCATAGCAGTTCTCCCTAACCTGCATTATGTTGACCTACCAGAGGGCATGTTCTCTGATGAGCCCAGTTACACCACTCTTCGTCTTGAAGTCCAGGCCCGCTGTCCCAGCATTCGCAAGATGACCTATAGCAGAGGTTCAGAACGCAGTTTGGCAGAATTATCGACGGGTCGGATCTGGACGCAGCTGGAGGTCCTCGAAATGGACAACATGCGTATCGACCCCATTACTTTGAGAAACGTGCTATCCTCTCTCTCCAACCTTCGCGCCTTCCAGGTTTCAAGGACAGACAGCCTGACAGATCAGGTATTGATATGTGAAGACGGAATGCCATCTTTACCTCCTCTTGAGAAGTTGGTCCTGCGAGACATTCCTCATGTGACCGTCGCCGGAATTATATCGTACTTGGCCTGGCAGGAGACACAGCAAGCCTTGAAGGTGCTGGAGCTTGTTAACACCGGAGTACACCCTTCAACCACGCAGGAGATCCTTCTGAGGGGCACCAGACTCAAGTCTTTATCCTTGCAAACGCAGATATCCGAGCCATTCCCCAATGGTGCTGGCATACGCCCATTGGCCTCGAAGACACTTGACACTCTGCATTTCGAAATTTCAGGGCCTTCCCGCACAGGCCCCTACTCGGACCTTGAGAGCGGCTACTACAGCTACCTTGCCTCCTCGATTCTTGGAGGTGGATTGCCGAGGCTACGTAAGCTCTACGTCCTCGATGAGACCATGCCAATACAACTTCAAGGTCTCACTCCTCCTGGGGCTGCTTTTGCGTCAAATCGCGCCAGATCCCGAAGTTTCACAGCTTCTACATCGGGACCACTGCTTCCCTCCTTGAAAATTCCAGAAGCTCCTAGCGGCCATTCACTATCGCCACCCCAAGGTCATCGCCGGCCACTTTCCAATATAACACCTGCCAGTCCGAACCGGCTCAGTTCTAATAACCCTTTCGCCACCGGGAACCACAGGTATGCTCCACCGCCGACACACACGCTCGAGGTGTTTACCAAGAGCGATGAACTAGGGAGCTGGAATTTTTCGCGTGTCAACTCCTCTGCCTACACGGACTTCGGCCACGGCGACACAAGCAGGCCAGGAAGCAGCTATGGTCTTGGAGCAGAGGTTTCCAGAGGACCTTGGGATGCCGGTGAGGCCAGAAGAAGCGTCATGGTTGGGAATGGAACGGGTGCCTTTTTGGCCGTTCCCGCCAAACAAGAGAATCCTTTTGGTGGTTCAGATAGCAGATTTTCGGGTTCCACCGACTCATGGAGGCCAAGGAGCAGTGGCGGAGACTCCGTTGCGTCAAATCGTGATTTATGGAGGTAAATGAAGGTTTTGTGAAAAGATATCAACATTATTTTTTTAATACCTCTATTTTATGTGCTGGTCGGGGAATACAAGGGAGCCTAAGATCTTGGGTCCTATGCAAGGACAACGCTGTACGGCATTGCACAGATACTCGGCATTGCACAGATACTGGGCACTTGCGACCATTATGAAGTCCAAGAATTCCCATGGAAGGACGAGCTGACGTACCAAAACTCAAAGATCCTCAATGGGGGGGATATGGAGGAGCTCAGAAAATTAATGCAGACAGTGGATGTAATTATTGGAGTTTAGGTGGCAATGGTCTGTTTTCTGGTTTGAATGACGTTTACTAGAGCAAGGATCCCTTGCCCACCACTGTAGCATGGCAGGTCCATCTCCAGATCATGGAGAACGGCCTGTGATTTACGAGAAGGTGCCATCCGGATGAAAGAAGAAACGAGACACCAAATGTCTAGTCCTGCTACGTTTTTGGAGTGATGATGAGTATTTTCAATTACCCCAGGCCGAGAATAGACAAATAAACAGACAATGCACTCTATATCATCGAATCTTATCCCTGTTGTTTTTGTACTGTTCTGGTTATCGTAGAATACGCTTTACTCATCAATGTAGCGTCTCATTGCTTCCCTTTATCACTCAGGCGCATATATCTCAAATACCTTAAAGAGCACCAATAGTTCTTTCCGATCATGCGGCTCTGAAAGGACTCGTTGATCATACAAGCACGACCACAACAGACATTGTCAAGGCAAATCCCAGACTGATGAACGCGTCGATGTTCTTGAGCCAGTTCCAACTTGATGTTACGCACGTGCCAGGGAAAACGAACGTGGTGCCCGACACGCTCTCAAAGCTGCCAATAAGAGAGGAAGACGAACCTAACGAGGACGTCAGTGAGCTCAACGACGTTTAGTCGAATTTCTGTTTCGCATCATACACAACGGGAATATCAGGAGAAACGAAAGCAAAGTTCATTGAGGGATATGAGTCGGACGAGAGGATGAGACGTGTCATCGTGATACTGGAGGAAAGGAAAGTTGTAGAGTACACGACTGATTTGAGGGCCAAATCCAACCGCATGCAGGTACTTGAGTGTTTTCAAACTTCCACATGAGTTTGCATGCATGTCAAGTTTAAGTCGGCTCACCCTTTACTGCTGGAGAAGGTGATTCAAACGTTGGGCTCATAGCCTATGGTAGCAATGATGGTTGGCCTATTATCGTTATAGAAGCCGGCTGGTCACAGACCAAAGTTGCTTTAGTTGCTAAGGTATATTAGTGGTTTGAAGCTTTGAGCCGGGCAGTCGAGATTGTACTCTCGACTATTGCATCCCCACTGCAAATCCAAATCGAGAAGTGGAAGATCAGTCCTATGCAGTTGTCAAACCTGTGACGAGGTTCGTGGCGTGGTCGATTAACCAGTTCGATCCACCACTAATATCAATACAACATAAGGTATGTATGCACCGCAAAGCTCCACAGCACCAGGTCGACCTAGTACCTACCTTTGACCCTTGTCTTCCGTAGCCAATGCCATGGTGTGCGCGTGATTACCGAGTTGGAATAGTGGTTCGCTTGTCCAGGTCTCACTGAATGGGACATCCGTTTGGACTGTCGCAGTGTGTTCCAGTTTGTCCGTGCTGAGTAGTTGTCTCATAGTCTCGGCGAGATCCGTCCGTCCGTAAATATTCGCCCAGTTTCCAATTCTGTTCTTTGCTTCCGACGTTAAGACGATTCTTTCATGTGGTTTGATAGCATCAATCAATTCCTCCAGTCCCTGCTGGTCTGGCCAGGCAATTGATCCCACTCTCTCGAGTACGTCCGCGTGTCTCTGTTCGACGTCATGTCTCGTGATCTTGATCTCATTGTTTGCGTGCAGTATTTGAAAAATTTAAGCTACTTGGCTACTACCCTCCAAAGATAAGCTACTGATCTACGCCCTAACGTACATACGCCTGTTCTGACAATCAATCGAATATTAGCCAATACCCCTGCTAATGATTGCAGGGTGACTACTATTTGGTCCCTTGCGACTGGAGTTCCGTGATGTATTTCTGCGGAACCCAGTGTCAAGTAAGCTTGAATCTTCCTCGTGGCATCCTCTTATTTATTACAGGCAAACAAAGGAGGCGCAGGTAGTATCTACTCAACATGGTTGCAGCAGGAACCACGGCAAGCATTTGAGAATATAATCAAGAGGAAAGGAGCCACAGGAAGCAGTATACACAACTCATCATCTATGATAGAGGTATGGAACCTTTATACTTCACCATCCATAGACATGTGCGAATACCTTACAATAGTTCAAAAACTGGAGGCATCTAGACAAAAAGAATGCCTATATCTATATGTGTGTGGGCAGTTACCTGAAATCAATAATTCTTGACTACATGTATACGTGAAGCTCTTCGCGTCGACCTGCTGCTCAACGAGATACCCTTTCCCTACATGGAGAATAGCTACGAAATGGTCGTAGCTCAGCGACCGGGGTTTTAAACAGCCGCATTAAGCTATCGGCAAGGTGCGTATTGACCTTCTGAGTCTGGCCATTGCCATGATCTCCGCAATAAAGGCATGACAGACGGGCATCAGCGCCATGCCGGTTTGGCCCACCATTAAAGTGTTTGCAGCCCTAAAGTGAGGGGTTTTAGTTCCACCCAGGTTTCGTCGATAAATACAACCCGACGTCCCCCCTCCAAAATTTGGTTGCATCCAATTCTTTCTTGTTTTGTTGTTTGAAATTTGCTGTTTGCATTCTTTTGCTTCAAGAGGCCTGATAGAGACGTTGCGCTGTGCGGACATGGAAAATGACCTGGGCAGGAACTACATACCCTAGGCTTGTCATTGCTGCAGGCTCTAATTATGCCCCACCTTTGGCCCGGTGGCTAAGGTATATATATGAAAACTAATTGACCCATAGTGTCCTTCGGGACATTTAGTCTATTTAAAACGATACAGTAAGTTGCTCCACAAGGTCGCAAGTTCGATTCCGCTCCAGGTGCTAACATCCCATCTTTAGGAGAAGATTAGCATGGCCCCAGCACATGGATGACACGCTCAATCAAAGAGAAGCTACAAATTTTTTTGCCTTTTTGGTTTTCATTCATTTCATTGCCATCTAGACGATCACCCCTATGATGTTACCAGCCCTCTGCAGTCGCCTTGCTGAATGACCAAATATGTACCAAGTCGAGATTGTAAATTTTCTACGTGATGAATTCAAGAGTACCGTAACTTTATCCAGCGTCAGCAGAGCTCCGAAGTCTGTGAGCTGGACGAAGACGACGGCTCGACGAGTTGCAGCGGAGCTAAATGCGGACCTGCGCGGCTTCTATTCATACAAACATGTGTTTTTCTTTTCATTCTACTAGCTCGCCCATATTTACGAGTCGGGATGATAACGCGTTTGGGGTAGCAAGCGCAAAGCGACACTTCCGTCGCGCTGAAATGACTGTCGAGGAGCCGCCAGAGTGAGTGCACAAAATGATCCTTTCCTATTAGGCAAAGGGATCTACTACCTAAGCTCCCTTTTGTTGATCCCTTACAGCTATGTCGTTGCTCTTATGTCAGGGGTTATATGTAATCCCTACGTATGTAGTATTAGTAGGTAGACAATCTTGGCTGTAACACCACACGAGTGTTGAATAAAAGGCAATGACACCATACTTGCAACATTGGGGACTGCCCGCGATATCGGTTTACCCCAGACTGGCAAGTGACTGTTTGATTTACCTTGGCGTTTAATACCCAGGCGTCATTGGATACAGGCCTCATGGAGCACAAGTATTATATAAACCTGCAGACCTGCTGTTAGCCTACTGGTCTGAAGAAAATAACGGCTCATGCAAGCAGTGTGTGTGGCGTCTGCAAGAAGCAAGTAACTCACCTCCTAATAGAGGCTGGAAGATACTTACTGCCCCAAGCGGCTGAGATAAAACACGGCACATCAGAGCTCTTTTCGTGCAAGCTAGAGACCTTATTTTCCTACTAATGATATTAAAAACAATAATAGTAAATAATAAATTATGCTATAATATTTAGCTTGATATTATCTTTATTACTAGGTTAATTGTTTTGATATTGTGTCGAAATTTAACGCTGTATGGAGGCTTCGGTGTGCCATGTTTTATTTCAGCCACTTGTGCCCATCTATGAAGGCTGCATGGACACGTATTTGGACAGGGATCGGCATGCCAGAAGACAGGAAAATATGTCTCGTGAAGTCAGATTGTCTTTCCACGCCCCCTCCTTCTTGCTGGCCTCTTTCTGTTTCCCTCTCTTAATCCTCACCTGATCAGGATCATATTCACTGACCCGCTCTTGTTTTATTGATTGCATCAACAACGAAGTTGAACCATAGAATTCATTAAACGTATTCTGTGGTGTCGGCGGCGGTCGTCTTCTTCTGTTGCCCAGCAAGGAAGAAACCACGAAACTGCACCGCTCAACCCTCCACAGCCCATTGCAGATCCTATCCCGCCCAGTTTTCCAGATGGTGTCAAAGTCTTGCACGAATGTCCTGATGCTATTGTCGATATTTGCTTTGTTCATGGGTTAACAGGAGATCGCATGAGCACTTGGACCGCAGACGGACGAACCGAGTCCTGGCCCAAGACCCTTCTTCCGGACAAAATCACCCGAGCTCGCATACTCACGTATGGATACGATGCATACGTTGTATCGAAATCAGTGGCAGGATCGAACCGGTTAATCGACCACGCCACGAACCTCGTCACAGATTTGACAACTGAGAGGGCAGGCTGCGGTGCCTCGTCTCGCCCTCTCATCTTCGTCGCCCACAGCCTAGGTGGACTTGTCTGCAAGGAGGCCATCCTAATCTCACGAAACAACCCGGAGCGTCGTCGCCAAGATATCTTCTTGAACCTCAAAGGCATCATTTTCATGGGTACTCCTCACAAGGGGGCGTGGATGGCTGATTGGGCGAATATGCCCGCTTCTGCTCTCGGCTTGTTTAAGTCAACCAACAAATCACTTCTTCAGATTCTGGAAACTAACAACCAAATGCTTGAGTCTATTCAACGCAAATTCTTAGCGTTATTACGGGAACAGCGTGAGGAAGGCAGACAACTCGAGGTCCGGTGCTTTTTTGAGGAACTACCTCTTTCTGTAGTTGGAAAAGTTGTGTCTAAAGAATCAGCTACTTTAGAGGGTTACGACCCAATCAGCATCCACGCAAATCATAGAGATATGGTTAAATTCTTCTCCGCCGAAGAGAACGGATTCAAGAGGCTTGTTGGGGAGCTATTGGTACTGGAACATGAGATCGATGAGAGGAACGAGCCGCTTTCAGGACGAAGCGATCCAACCACGGAAGTCAAGGAGGGCAATATATCAACCAGTTAGTTGAATCAATATACTTCAAGTCCTGCTACTTCGTGACTAACTTACACTAGAGCATACCAAACACTATCTTCCGTATCCAAGAAACAGAAATTTTATAGGACGCCAGGAGATGATCGACAACCTTCAACAGCTCATCTTCGCCAATTCAGATCACCAACGGGTCGCCCTTGTCGGACTGGGCGGGATGGGTAAAACTCAGATTGCTCTCCGAATTGCACATCTGGTGAAGAATAATTCACTTGAACAGAAAGATTACTCAATCCTCTGGATTCCCGCCCTCAGCATGGCCAGTTTTGAGGCAGCATGTACTAAAGTTATTCAAGATTTTGCGATTGAAAGTGCTGCAGACGAAGACCCCAAACAAGCAGTCCAAGACTTTCTCAACTCTGATAGGGCCGGGAAATGGTTTCTTATCATTGATAATGCTGATGATATGAGCGTTTTATATGAACCAAAGCATCAACCAGGCGGAATCGTCAATTTCCTTCCTGACAGTGACAACGGGCGTATTTTGTTCACAACAAGATCCCGAGAAGTAGCCACGAGTGTCACGACCAATATCCTTGAACTTCCTGAGATGAGTTTGGCAGAGGCAAAAGACCTTTTAAAGAATTCTTTAATTGACAAGAATCAAATCCAGGATGATGGCCTCATCAACGACCTTTTGCAGGAGCTCACTCCCTTGCCGCTTGCCATCGCGCAAGCATCGGCATACATGAACCAGAACAGGGTATCAATCAAAGGCTATCTCCGGCTTTTCCAGAATACAGATCAAGATATGGTAGAGCTATTGAGATGCGGGCTTCACGACGGCAGCCATTACCAAAGAGATCAGGGCGCGGTCGCTACTACATGGATTGTATCCTTCAACCAGATTCGCAGCACAGACGAGGATGCTGCGAAACTGCTACAGTTCACATCTTATATTGAGCCGAAATCCATACCTCGAACACTGCTTCCTGATTTAGGGTCTGAACAAAGCATGACAAGCGCAATCGGCACCCTTTGTGGATACGGTTTCCTAAGTCAACGAGAAGACAGCACGATATACGATATGCATAGTCTAGTGCATTTAGCCACACAATTATGGACTGCAAACCATGACCCTGAGGGAAAACACTTGCAGGTGGCAATAACGCGCCTCGTTGTGAGATTTTCATTTTCTACCTGGAATTTTCGGGAGCAACGGGAGCTGTGGCGACAATACTTCCCACATGCTCTAAAAGTCCTTCACGCAGCACCGAATGACGAGAATGAAGATATCCACGCATTGAAAATACAGGTTGGCTTATGCCTGTTTGAAGATGGGCGGGTGAAGGAAGTGATCAAACTGCTAGAGCCTGTGGTTGGAATTGAAGAGACATTATCAGAGGACCACTGTCCTCGCCTGGTCCCATCTCAAATACTCGCAAGAGCATATGAAGTTAATGGAGAAGTAAAGAAAGCAGTTTGACTGCTTTAGCGTTTGGTTACAATTGAAGAGAAGCTATTATCAGAGGACCACCCAGATCGATTAGCCTTACAACATGAACTCGCACGAGTATATGAAGTTGACGGACAAATAAAGAAGGCAATTGGTCTTCTGAAATATGTGGTTATGATGAAGGAGAAAACATACTCGGAAAATCACCCTTCATTGGCAATGTCTCGGGATCTACTCAGGGCCTTCACAAACAATGTGCCCGGTTAGCCGAGAAAATTTGATCCTTAGCAAATGGCTCCAGGGACTGCAGGGTCACCTCGACAGAATTGTTGTGGCAGTCAGTCACATCATAATGCTTCCTATTATGTAAGAGTAAGCCAATAATATTGCCTAATAATTGCTCAATAATTTATTGTTATTATTATTATTAACTACCTTATGTCTATTAATATTCGTGGCCTGTATGGGAAACTTGGGATTAAAACACCTTTGCAGTCCCCGTTATTCTGACACTCACCTGCTTGGTTACACCATCGTGACCTATAGTATTGGGGGTGAAAACGGCGATTGAATCAGGATAGGTAGAACTTAAGGTGCATATAATATATTGAAATGCCCTCTCTGAAGGTAGAATTATGTCTAAACTTATTTTTACCTAAGAACCTAGGTAAGCGACTAACATTAAATAGTGTCATGCTACGAACAGGGGCTACACGGAAACCCCTATAAAAGGGCTGAAAACAGCCAGTAGATAGAAGCAATTCAAGCCTTAAGAATCATATTATCTCACACACAAGTGAAGGTATCGTGAACCTAGGTTTCAACCACAACCCATCTGACTACGGCTACCCTATAGCCAACTTCGAATAACTCATCCACGGCGCCAGCCTGGTTGTGGCCAGACTAAGCGTAACAAATATAGTATATATAGAAACTCTAGCACTAAATTTTAATATAATATTAATATAATTGTTACACGGCCACAGTCACGGACCTAGCTGTAGGTCGGACCAGACGGTCCGACGGATCACATGACCAGAGGTCGTATAAATCAGCAATTGCTAACATAGCTAGCGAGAGAGAATTCAAGCCTTACACATCACAAATCGCATGACCTACGTGCCCGATATCAATTGGTAGCAATTCTACGCCAATCGTACGACCACACCATAACCATCACCATAGCCATGCGACTTAAATTTTTTCTTCCGATAGGTCGGAAAATCTCTTTTCTGCGTTTCCTCTTCTCCCTACGGCCCGTCCGAGCGACGGATGACCGTGCTATCGTACACCCATCAAATAATTAACTTATTAATAACTATAATATTAAGCTAAGTATTATAGAATAATGTCTTATTTTCTTATTATTATATTTAGTATTATTAATAAGAAAATAAAGTTCCTACCTTGCGTAAAAAGAGCTTTAATATGCTATATTTTATTTCAGCCACTTGCTGCGTAACCTAGAATTCTGGCAGCCCTGTTGTTATGGTCCGTGAGAGGAGAACAAAAGACAGTGTTTCAATAGGAGAACGAATCTTAAATATTACTATACCTTACGCTGGTGTGATTTCAACAATGAGGCGTCAAGATGTGTAGTTCCCTATTGCGCAGACGTCCAATCGCTGACGCTGGATCATCATTCTACGATCTCTTCCCGAGCCCGAACATGACCTTACTGTATCACTTTCTACATATAAAATTTCTCTCGTTTTCTTAACTTTATCTGTTACTATGCAGGACTAATCCTCCTAATTGAATGAACAATCAACCGTCCCGTCTCGACCCCTGGTATCCTGCCTACCCTAGAGTTCTATCTACTTTGCTCATCATGGTAGCACCTTACACGTCCATCCATGTGAAAACGGTAGTATTAACTAAACGGGCATGGAATCCAGTTTCGGTAGGTTCGGGGACGCTGTATAGGTAAAAGGTTCAACAGGTGGTTGCTGGGAGCTGCCTAAATTTCATCGTTGTAAAGAAGACATGACTCGGCTGCATCGAGTGCGTGAGAAATCACAAAGTACAAATGATACCCGTGGGGGCCTTTGCGGCACATATTTGCAACGTTCCTTCCGGATACTACTTAATCAATAGGTCTCCCCGACGCTGCGGCAACTGGCTGCCGTAATAGTAAGGTACACTGCTCTCGAGGCGTCAATGCAACCATGGCCACTCAACTTCCAGCTTCCAAGAAGAGTCGGGCAGACCGCGCTACTGACGATCTGTCCTGTTCCAATCTGAGATGCCCCTTCCGCAGTATCGGATCGGTGGAATTTTTCCAATGCCTGGGTTCTGGGCAGCTGAGCTTTGAGCATTACACATTGGACGGGGAGTTGGGACGTATGCACGCCCCTTGATAGAAGGGTGGATTGATACATGTAGGCAGCTACCGCGCCATAGGAAGGGATGCGCCAATCATTCGATTACAGCACGACTATCCATACCAAGGGTGGCTCTGGCAGGCAATATGCAATAGTCTTACCAATCGGGAACTTGACGACGACCTACTGTCTGCTCGGTGCCGCGCAAGCAGCTGTCAGCAAATAGGCACTGCGAAGGTTTTTCGACTGTTAAATACGAGCCGCATTGTCTAGAGAGAGCAGCTCAAAGGACCGATTAATTATCAGAATTAGGGTTCATCGCTTGGTTAGGTAATGAACTTTGTATGTTAACAAAGGAGGGCATTGTAAATTAAGATGATGTATTATGCCACCATCGCCCTCATGAGGCCGCTCGGCGATTCAGCTGGAGCCAGTGCCGGCCGCGGGCTGTGAACACATCAGATGACATTGTTGATCTACATTTCTGCAGGCGTTTTCCAAGAGGGGGTCAGCCTTAATCACCGCAGGCCATTGTACACAGTTTGAAGAAGCCAGAGACAAATACGAAACCTAAATTTCTAGGGGACCAGAAGCTGGGACGAACAGCCAGTTCTAGATCGACACGAAGGCCCTAAGCGCCACTGATCTGAAATGTGACGCCACACGTCTTCCTCTTCCGGGAACCAACCCCTGTCTGGGAATGCGATGTGGCGCCTCCAGCCACCCCCAGATCAACTACCGGGCTTAGATACCGGTGGCAACGTGGCTGAGGGCGCCAGTCTCCGGACCACTGAAGTAAGGCGGGCTTATTACGTCAGTTTTTGGGGGCACGCGAGGGAAGCAAGTCTGCAACGCTATTCCTGGTGGTACGGTGCCTGGCTGCGATAAGAAGGTTATCATGTATTGGCTGGGTGTGGCCACATGATCCCATCGTGGTTGAGAAATGAGAAAAATGCTACTTGCTTTTCCGTCCGTTCTTCTTCCTCTCTCGGCCCTTCTTGCGCCGACTCTCAACTACTCTGTCGGCGGGGTAGCCGGTGCAGACTTCGGCTTAGCCGCATCTATGCTGGGTGATGCTCAATGCACCAGCCGTGGCACGGAGGAAGGGCATTATCTCGGGATGAACATGAAATAGGCGGTGATAGGCATGGCTTTGCAGATGTGCATACCCACATCGCCGCACTGGTCAATGAGAGTTGGACTTACCATTCACGCCTATGCACATGTAAGGCAGGTACCTGCATTGTCATGTCTGTAGACTTCAGGTGGGAATAATGGGGCTGGTGAAGAAGCATGACATGGCGAGATAAATCATTAAACAGGCCGATCGTATCACAGCTCTGAGATCGCGCTCGATCAAATTTGCCGCCCGTAGCCACCGCTCACCGCTATCCCTCAAACGGAGGCAGGCGTTTCGTCGCATTCCTCGTGGTGGTTGTGTCCCGGAATCTGGGACAGATGAACAACACGAACAACGCACCGTATGGGCTCCAGAATGCCCGCCTGCATTGGAGAGAAGGTGTGAGTGCAAGCGTGTGGTGGGGACTCTTTCGTCCAGCTAGTCTGGCGTGAAGGATGGATGTTCAGCAGACTGCTCTGAGGCACACCAAATCACAATCCTTCTCCGAACGGCGCATGGCATCCAAAGACCGATCCGGGACCGATCCAATCCATGGGCTCGCTTTCACCTTAGACCCAAGCTGGATCTGCAACTAATGGAAGACGGCAATTCTTATTGTCTTGATATAGGTCGTGGTTTACATATTAGTCAAAACCAACAAACGGAGGATTTCATAGAGTAGAGAACCAGGGAGGGCGAGATAGTAATAGCAACAGCCCCAACTATCTTCAGTTAGGCATCTTGTCTGTTTTCGGGAAGACGTGGGCCTCCGGGCCAAAAGGATCAGAAAGTTTCCCACGGTGACCTTATTTTCCTCCGGTCTACCATTTAAGATAGCAAGGATGGAAACTGGTGCTACTACCGGCATTTTCACTCACTGTGTCGTGACCTGGAGTGTGATACCACACCTTGACTCCCCCCCACCCAATCTAGGGACTTGGCAACAGCTCATCCTACTGGATGGGGCAACTTTCCAACCAGATGGTGTTAGTTCCAGTTTATGTCCGTCGTTCTTTTTTTACTCACCTCTGCAGTCTAAATATGGGTATTTTCTCTTTTGCTGATGTCACTTTCTTTTCTCTATATTTTCCTTTTCTGGGGTGAATATGAATGCCTGAAATGATTAATTCCACGGAAAAAGGCTTGCTAAACGCCCACTGCTGGCACCATGCTATTGAGTGCCAGTAAAATGTGGATGTAGGTGCGTGAACACACGATGGAGAAAATTTGCGTCGCCATGGGATGGGAGGGTCGCATCGCGCAAATGTCGGTCTGCAAGCACTTGGGATCGCCCACCAGGCTCTTGTACACCAGGACCAGAGCCAGCCATGCGGCAGGAGGGACTAGGAGGGTCCGTCCTGTGCCATTTTGCAATGTCTCCGGCCCGTCTGATCTGTATGGGCGTGGTAGGTATTATGTAGGAGCACGCCGAAATGCATCTGGTGGTGACTTGTCCTGTGGAGCACTGCAGCTGGTGGTAGGCGAAAGAAAAAAATCCCCGTCTTATTGCAACCTGCAGTAATAATGCTGTATGTACGGCTCGCTTCTGCACTTCTATTCATGCTGTCTAATATACCCCGAGTCTC